AAAAAAAAAAACCCAGATTCTGAAAATTCTAAGCTGAAGTAGTAATTATTTATATAATTTCAAGATAAACCCTTGATATTTTTTGAGACCTTGGTACTGGTCCTCAGCACCAACTCTTATAACCCGCTTTCTATTGGGTTGCATCAGACCCAGCATCAGAGGTTTCCTGCAGTTTAATTTTTCAATGAAGACATAACAAATCAAGGCTGATTTTTTATTTTTTAATTTGGTACTTACAGTTTGTTTTATTTTTGGAAAGCTGTAAGTCCTTGCACAAGATTGGCTGCCCACCATTTTTCTTAAGGAACAACATCTAAGAGGCAGCTCATCTCAAGTCAGCCAGCTTTCATCTACATCATAATAAAAATATTTTAAAGATTCCTTCTATGTTTCCTAAGACTTACCATTTTAGTCACCATGTTATTATCTTTGTATGCAAGACAAGTTAATTTCCTAAGAGTTACCATTAACACTTGGTAGAATTTGAATTGGCAATGACAGAATGGTGTGTGAGGTTCCTTAGAACTAGGTTTTAAGGGTTGAGGGAAAAACAAGCATAAAGACAGGCAACTGAAGAATGTTTTCAGTTTGGTTTTCACCTTTGTAAGAGCCACAGAACTGGATTGATCTTCATGTGTATCTTAGGAGATCCTCAGGGAATGGTGATGCCTTCATGAAAATGAACATCGGCACGAGCATGGCCCTTGAACAAAGCCCCAGAAAGCACTACCAGCCCATGGAGCTGTCTTCTGTCCTTTGCAGTTTTTAAATCTCATGGAGAATCCAGGCTGCTCATTTAACTTGCAAATTAAACAGCAAGCAAGAAACAAAATACCCCCCTGCCTTTTCTTTTCTTTTAGTCTTTTATTAAAGCTGGTTTAGTAAAGTAAGTAGTATTTTGATGCAACCCCCCCCCCCCAACAATGAACTGGAAAATAAAAGCCGAAATATATGTTTGAGTATCTGTGCCTATTTTTGAAAAGTACTTAAATAATGTGAACTGCATAGAGAAACCTGTGTTTTTTAACTGAAGAAACACAGTGCTTCTCAACTACCTTCCACTTGTTGCAGAAAGAGCAAAGTGTATGTTTGCTTTAAAGTTGAAAGTAATCTTCCATTTATGCCCAGCAACAGAAGGTTGGATTTCGCATATGTCTAGCAAACAAATCTATGGGGAGGGCATCTGGGGAACTTTGAACTAGGTTTATCTGAATATGATGGTAATCAGTGGAAAGTGTATATTTGAATGTTTATATTTTAGAAAAGCACTTTTTATCAATGTAACTCTGATCCCTTTACAGGTTTCAGCAGAAATTTGGATCTTGAAAGGTTTTAATCCAAATGCATCACGCTCAATGCTTTGTCTCATAATACAAGTCATACTTCAGTGACAGTTACATCAGTTTAAAAAATACTTTAGATAAGGAATTGAGAGGATAAAAACCATAGTTAACTCTGTCCAGTCTTCTCTCTGTTTTGGGAGGATAAATATGACAAGCATAAAATATTTCAGCCAATGCGAAAAACAGTATAGTAAAACCGTAATTTGAAGTCCTACCACAAATTAATTCACTGCTTGACAGATACTGCTAAATACTGTGGGAAAGACTAAAGACTATGGTTAAGAAAAGGTTAAGAAAAGAGAAAGCTTAAGAAAAAGAGAAATTGAAGTGGAACTGTTCCCTATTTCAGCCTCCTTCTGTGGATCAGTGCTTGCTGCTCATACTCTGCAGGTTAGGTGATTACAGCCTGGATATGTTCACTGGCCACAACAGTGTGTTGCCAACCAGCATGCTTCTGGGCTGTTTAGATTTTGTAATTTATCCCCAGAAAGCTAAAATGAAGTCTGCACAGCCCTACCTGCTAGCTGACGAGGAAAAACTGCCTTACCCTGTTTTGCTGGGTGAGTTGAATTTGCTAAATGGAGGGTTATGAGTGGGAGAATTCAACTGGATATGTGGAAAGCAGATCAAGGAAATCATAAGAAAGCAGTTCTTCCCCTTTTCAGAGGGGTGGACTTTGAGCATGGCTTTCTGTTTCATGCAGTTGCACCCTGTGTTATTAGCGACCAGGTGAGGGGCCTGGTGGATGGAATTACAGCCCTACAGTCTCACCTTCTCCCGGCCCTTATCTTTGTTGTTTGGCTCTTCTGGGTAGCTCTAATAGCACAGCCTTGTTCAGGACTCAAGTCTGTTCAAGAGTTAAGAGCTCAGCTGATCTGAACAACTCATAACCTGATATAAACAACTCATACTGGCCATAAAAAGTGTTTTGATGATACAGCTTATAGCAGTTTGATGAGTAAAACAAATTGTTCTAGCCAAAGCATTTTCTGTCTGTGTCTACACTTGGGATTTTGATAACAAAAATAGCACAAAATGTCATTGGTAGTTGTGCTGCCAGAAGTTCTCAGCCTGTGTTTGTCCTCAGGTCATCTCTTTTTGCTGCATAATAGATTACATCAATTGGAAATATCTTCTTTAACTTCTGTTTCTTCTTTCCACTTTGAGCACTCACACCTAACAATTGCTTAATCCTCTGTAAAGGTACAGGAACAAGGTGAAACAGAGGCCTGTGGAGAGGTGTGGTGTTTCAGGGCTGAAGTTTATAAATGAATATAAATGACATGGGCCTCCTTTCACAGAGTTACTTAAGTACTTTGAAACAAAACACTCCCCTCCAAGTGGTATCAGTAGTCCACACTACTTACAGGTGTAACAGGAGTTTCCATATTAACCTCTCAGCTGCCTGTCAGCACAAAATATGTGCCAAGAGAAAATCAGGGCAAGAATGTGTTCCCTGTTTTTCATCTGACAAAAAAATCATGCAAGGGCTTCTCAGGCAGTCATGTTTAACCTCTGATAGAAATGTTCATCAGTGTTTAAAATTTGCTCATACATCTGATGTTTGTTGCCTTACAGCATGTCGTGAGTAGTTAAAAACTCTTCTATGCTCAAAGGAAACCTTACAAGCAGTCAAGTGCCAGAGGAGGTTTGGCAGTTCAGCTTGCTTTAGCGCTACCGGCCATTTCATGCCAGGCAGACCCCTTAGTACAATGAGATTTGCACCTAGCACAGGGAAGCCTTCAGTTGAAACAGCATCCAAGTGAGGACAAACACTGGCTCTTCAGAGAGCTGCTGTGCTCCACAAAAGCAATTGGAGGAGTTTCAAAGAGATCTGAGAGTCTGATTACACGCTGGTGATGTTCCCATTGTAGGCTGAGGGGAAGTCTGGCTTCATCTGATTAGCAAAAACTGGAATATGAGGACCAGCCTGATGGTGGTGAGATGTTTTGGGAGGCTCTGTTATGTAGCAAACATGACCAACTTAAAACTCCAGAGAGAGACTAGTGTAATGGGAGAAGTTTATCCCTTGTTTTCTAAACTTGAAATCTATTTGTGAAAGTTAGTGAAAATTGTGCAGGCATATCAGCAGAGAATTGGATTCACAATTTTGTCTATTTTTAGAGGATCAGTCTCATTCATGTTCACCATATTTGGGTCAATTTGGCTATCAAAAACTTGCATGGTGAAAAATAAGAGAACTAGAAATAGTTGTTAAAAAACAGTTGTAAAAAAAATGTCAAGACTAGTTAGTAGCTGAGGAGGAGGATTTGGGGACATTTCATAGATCCCAAGTATTTAATTTGGGGTGACATGTATGCCACTTTATATCTGTGGATGGGATACTGTCACAGGCTGAATCAGCAGATATTTAATTCTTTGGTTGGTGAAGTCATTTTGTAGTTTGTATGGTTACAGCAAGAATGTTTATCAACATTTCAAGTCTTTTGAAATAGATTATAGGTTAATAAAACATGTATCTGAGTAATTCCAGAGGATGTTATTTTTTTGGGAGATGTGTGAAGAGAAGCTTGATTAATATCTGTAAAATTAGTAAGCAAAAGATGCGATGAGCGGCTCTTGAGAGCTGTAATTTACTAACACTGACACCCACCTATTTTTCTCCACCCCTAAATTATATGTCTCGTTACTTACAAGACTGCATATTGGTGACGTGATGGTAGTAACTCCAGTGTTAGGTTTTAGTACTTCAGTACAATAACTCTGTCTTCTGCAATTAATTAATTCAAATTCTGACTTCACATCTGACAATATTGCCAGGGCTGGACCTAAACAAAGGTTAAAATCAAGCAGACAAGCATTAAAAATCCTGGAACAGGGAGTGCGAGAAAAACAGGGGAGTACATAGAGTTGTGCAAGTAAATAAAGAAATTCTTGGTTATTTTTGGCAAGAGGTGGAGAAGCACGTGATGACCCGTTGTAGTCAAGGTTTTATCTTGGGGCTCACTACTTTATAGGCCAACAGCAATTCCTTTTTTGCCCCGCATCAGCTGAATACTATTTAGGGTCAAGAATGCTGTCTGCAGAAGTTGACTATTCCTACAAGCAGCCACTAATATTTAAGTGATTTGTAACATTAGGGACATGTGGGTAGTGAGGGTGCATCCTGTTGTTTTGGCAAGAGCTGAGTAAGGCAGAGCTTCTGATGGACTGTACTGTGGGATACAACATGGTCATTGCGTTTGCTGTGTCCTGTTACTTCTCTAGCCACTGGTGTTTCTGACTGTCTGGTGGTGGTGCCAGGGACTGCTCAGCAGGGAAAGATGGCAGGCTGGACCTAGAAGGTTGGTGCTTCACTTTCACAGCTGGGAATGGGACTCACTTCATCTTACAATGCAGGAACCCTAACTTAAACAAGTCTGGAGTTGACATGTTCATTTGCATATTGCCATCTTCTAAACTCCGGTTTTTGAGAGTTGGGTCTTTTCTGTGATGCATTCCTCATCCCAACGGTCTGTGAATGATGTTACAGGAGCTGGTAGCCAAGGAGATGGGGACGAATCGCTCACCATTTTGTGTTTGACAATTAGGAGTGCGGCACTGGAGGACCACTGGGGGTTTGTGGGTGCTCGAATTGCCTTCCTCCACGTAGTGATGGACTGTGGTGGGTAGAGGCGAGTTCGCTGTGGCAGCATCTCAAGTTGCCCTCGCCGCTCTCCCCCGGCTTACGCAGAGGGGTCCTGTCTCGGCCTCGCCGCTAACCTGCAGCTTAGGGGCGGTGACGGCCACGCACCTGCACCCGCCCGCCTTGCCCGAGCTCTGGTTGCCACGGCGGGGGGGGCAGCTCTGCCTATGCGCCGCGGGACTGAGAGAGCGCTCGGACGGCTCCGGCGGGGCCTGCTGGGGGCGCTGCCGCTGAGGCGCTGGGCGGGCGGCGGGAGGGCCCCGCAGGTTGCGCCCTGCAGGCTGGGCGCGGGGCCGGGGCACGCCGGAGCCCGCAGGCCCCCTCCGCAGAGGCCCCGCCGCTCTGTGGCGATGGGCGGCAGGCGCCGCTAGGCCGGCCCGGGCAGGGCAGCCGCGGAGGCGGGAGGAGGTGTAGGAGGCGGCGGCCGGGGGCGGGCTGGGTCCCTCCCCGGGAAGATGAGGCGGAGGCCCGGGCTGCCGAGCGGGCTGAGCTGGGGTGCTTCCCTCCCAGCCGCCAGGACAAGATGGCAGCGGCCAAGGCGGCGGCGGCAGGAGCGGCGGGGGTGAGGCGCTGAGCCCGCGGAGCGGCGCTTCACCGTGGCGCTCTCGGATATGCCCAGGGTGGCGGCGGCAGCTCCAGATCGAACGCCAGCGCGGCCCGCTCCGTGAAGGTGAGCGGCGGGCGAGGCGCGGGGTCGTCCCCGGCGAGGGGCGCTGTCTTTGCTGGCACCGTTCGCCTCTTTCCCGCGGAGGGCTGCCGAGCGGAGGGCCGCGGCAAGCCCTTACCCCCCTGCCCGAGGTGCGGCAGGCACGGTGCACCGCTGCCCTTGTCGGAGCGCCGCGGTGGGGAGCGGGCAGTACCGTTTCCCCTTCCTTTTCCCGTCGCCCTCGACGGCGCCTGCTCCGCCGCGCCTGCGAAGTTCCTCCGTCCCCGGCTCAGGGAAGCGCCCGCCCCGAGCGCGGCCGGGGCGCCGGGCGAGGCCGCCGCCGCTCGGTGGGGGAAAGGCGTGGCCACCCGCCTCGCCCGTTACCGGCCGCGGGGAGGTGGCGGGGCCGGGCGGATCCTGGCTGTGCGCTGCTCCCCTCCCGGGCTCTCCGTCGGCCGCCTCCCTCTTGTACACTGCTCTCAGGCTGGCGGCGGGTGCTTCCCCGCGCTGCGCGGGGGGTCCCGAGGCGGTGCCCGGCTGCGGCGGTGGCTCCTCGTACCGCGGCGGGACCCAGCCGGCGTTCCTCGGCCTGAGCCCCGAGCAGAGCCCCGCGGGAGCCGCTCCTCCTCGCTTGGCGGTGACTGGGATCGGGCGGGGAGCGAACGGTGCTGCGGGGCCGATGTAAATAAACACAACTGGAAAGGAAGTTGACGCTTCAAAATTTGGTCAGTTCCCAAAAACTAGCTGTGTAAAAACAGGCGGGGGGTGGTGTTGTTGCTGGTGGCTTTAACGTAGTGATTGTAGCAGGGATTGTGCTGGGTTTGTGCTGGTTCTTGAATCATCGTGGGATCAATTATAAAACAGATGCGTTTGCGTGTGTTTAACGCTGTAGGAAATGGTGGTTTTCATTTTTTTCTTTTTAATTTTTAGTTTACGTTAAGCCCTCAACCATCAGTGCTCTGTGCTTACGTATATATAAATATCTTTCTTTGAGGCTATACTTTTGTTACGAACTGTGCGTCTGACTTGGTGCCAAGCCAGGCGATGGTTTCCTTTTTTGTTAACTTTGTAAGTTGTTTTGAGATTCCCAGGCTTGCCTTCCCAGGAATTATGTGGCTCTCTGATGTTTTTGTATCTTCCTGCTTGTGTACAACCGTGTCTATTTCAGTTATTTTTGTATCTTTGAACTGTGGGAAAATGTGAAATTGACATGAGAGACAATTACATTGGGTAGAGCTGCAGTTGTTGATTACAATGCATATTTCTCTGGTTATTTTTTCCCGTTGGTATTACCTCCTATTACATCATTTGCAAAAAGTTTCTGCTGTGATTGGTTTTATGGGAAGTAGAATAGCTTGGTTGGGCTGTGAGGACTGACTTTGTGACATAATAATGCCCTAACAGAGTAAATTGGCTAAAGGTTTCTATAAACAAAGTTTAAGATTCACGCAGTAGCTATCTAATAAGTGTGGCAGCCAGCAAAGAGATTAATTAAGCACCTGGAAAATAGGTCAGGGCTGTATTACAGAGCAGCATGGTGAGATTGCAAATAAATAGAGCAAAGCGTTAGCATGGACTTACCGGGGGAAAACTGATCCTTTATTTGCGCTGCCGCGAGCCATTTATGGTAGCACTCGGTGAGATGGTGTTTATCATCATGGAAAACAGGAATTCAGTAGTTTGCATTGAGTGTGTTTATTGCCAGAGACTTGCATTATTGTAGTGTGAGTTCTCCTGCTTGCTCAGGGGCTGGCATCAGTTGCTCTTGTGAATTATTTTTCTCATAGCTGCATTTGGCTAGATGCTCTTAATTCTGATGGTGGTGGTGTGCTCCTCTCCGGCCTTGAGAACTCTTTGTATTCAGAGAGATTTCATCAGCTGGAATACAGTTGCATTGAAAAATTTCCTGGAAAGCTGCCCCTGACCTGGGGTCTCTGCTGGGATGTGTGGGTTTTTTTTGTTTCAGGTTTTTTGTATTTGCATGTTTCCTCCCTCCTTTCAAATAGCTACCTACAGAAACAGGGAAATGAGTCCGTCTCCTGCATAACGAGAATCCAGAGACAAAGGCAGGGTGTGGGGAGGAAGAGTGAGCTTTCAACTCCCCCTGCAGAAGATACAACTGCTAGAAATATTAGAAGGTGTGTGTGCTGCTTCTCTTGCTGTGTGCTTCTACTTATAGCACTTGCTTCAAAACAAATACTGTTTTGGAAGTGCTTTTTTTGAAAAGTGTCTATCAGCTTGATCATGTCTGTTCAAGGGGATGGGATGCTGAGCAGCACTTCCAGAGGCAGCATTGGCTTATCAGCTCCTGGGTAAAACAGAATTAACTACTCTTAATTCTTGTGATAATCCCAACCTAAATGTATAGGAATGTCAGGCTGTGCTTGTCCAAGCTTGTATGTTTAGGGATTCACCTCTCTGTGCTATTTCAAGGGATTGCACTCTTACTAGTTTTAGAATGGTTTTCTCTTTAACAGCATATATTCTCCTTCTTGCGTCTTACATCCTGCCAGTATGTTGATTATAGCATCAAGATCCTTTTGACAAAACAGTGCATTTTGAAGCAGAAATTTTGTAGTTGGCTTTCTTTGCATGTGTGTATGTAGGGGAACAAAAGCATTGCTAAGGGGAAGAGCTTTGTTGTGTGAGACCGAATGTCTATTTCAGAGGAACGTGAAATACAGAAGGAAAATTTCTTTTAGCTGAGCTGAATCTTGATGTTGCAGTGTGAGGCCTGTGAGGTGCGGCACACAGCTGCTGGGCACATAGAGAGTAGTTACTATAGGCAGTTCTGTTTTCTGCATGGAACTTTGTGGAAAAAAGCAGAGACCATCCATGCTTTTTGAAATCCTTTTATTAGACAAGCCTTACCCTCGCTGAATATGTGATGATCTCATTCCATCTGCAGAAGCATTACAGCTGAGGTAGTCTGCTCTGTCGCCTAACAGCAGTGTGAGTTAGGTAGAGAGCAGGCCTGGGAATCAACTGGTGTTCCTCGACCAAGGAAGGAAGAAATGTGGGAGTAGGATGCGCTCATGGTGATACCAGCTCTCCTCAGTTACACGTCGCTGTTTGGTGAAACAGTATCCCCCTTTCATACATCAAGAAAGCTTGCTCGTACCTTTCTGTGTTTTCAGAGTTTCTTAAATTAGCTGATGATTTTACAGTATCTCAGAGGAGAATTTCAGAAGTGCTGGCATAGGATTAATTTGATGAAGAAAACGTCCTTAGCACTTTACTGAAACTATGGAGCTCCAGTAGATGGGTTACGTAAACTCATAGCTAGTCAAATACTTATTTTCAGCTGGCCAATGACATTTTCTTGTCTTCGAAAATAAGAGTAGTGAGAGCTGAGCTCAATGGTGGGGACCTTTCACTAAGTTAATGTTTCTGTTCCTAAGTCACTGAAATACTGTTTTTCTTCAGATATCTTGACTGAAAATCTGAGACAGAGTGAAAAATAATGCATTGCTTTCAACCCAGGTCTTGGAAGAAAAGCTTATTCTTTGGGTAAAGCATATGAAACTGTTTCAGAACTCTGGGTGGGTTGTGTGCAAAACCAAATATGAAGGAACTGGCAAGGATGAGCACTGTTGGAGATAGCTGATAAGCGTGCAATGCACCTTGAATGATGATTTAGCTACATTTAAAGCACCTTTCTATATGCTATGGTATGGGTTATCTTTGACTTATGTAGGCAGTGACCAACCTCTATTTGACCTGAAATAACCTGTAATGAAACACAAAGCCTGGAAAATCCTGTTATCTGTCCTTGGCCTCCCTGCCCTCAGTCCATAGACCATTTGGACTATAAAAGAGACAGAAGCTCTTGAGATTTCTAGAGAAATTGAAGCTCTGTTTCTCCTCAGAGGCGCTAACTTTTGAGTGATAGATGAGCAGAGGAACAACATGTAATTGTGAAAGTGGGTTGTAATCTGTGGCTTTAGTTGATAGTGTAGCAATTCCTACAGGGTAGGTGCCGTTGTCCTCCTTCCCCCCCCATAATTCTTCAGTTGTTTTATTTCGATGTAGTGAATGTTGGGAAAGATGGCAAGAAGTGGTTTGAGTCTTGGTTTTAAGTGCAGTTTGGGGATAATCTTTGTGCAGGTTTGTAGTATTTTTTCGCATGATGTCACTTCTTTTTTTCATACAGAGTCTTGATATTCAACTTTAATTTTCAGAGTGGTTAATTTTCTGACAAAGTGGGGTTAATCTCTTGCTTAACAATATTGCTTGGAAATGGAAGGAGAGACAAATAACTGACGTGGTTTTTAAGCAAATCAAGTATTTTAGTTCTGGTTTTTGTTGTTTTTTTTTTTCTTACTCAGTGACTTGGAATCAGTTTAAGTTCTCTGTTATTAACTTTTCATATGTAATAGCCCCATCATAGTCTTTTTTCACCTTGTATTTTCAGAATAAAGTAGGAAATATTCCTTTTTGGAAGTATGGCCTTTTCTTCATCTCTGCTGTGCCCTACAACAGTTGGATGAAGGATTAAGCCTGGAAAAATGTTAAGTTCACATGCCACAACACAACAATAAGACAAGACCCAGTGAAATACCTAAAGACAAAACAGAAACAAGAAATATTTTTGTGTAGATATATATATATATATACATATATATATATGTATATAAGGAGGAAATTCTTTCCTGTGAGGGTGGTGAGGCACTGGAATAGGTTGCCCAGAGAGGTTGCGAATGCTCCATCCCTGGCAGTGTTCAAGACCAGGTTGGACAAAGCCTTGGGTGATATGGTTTAGCGTGAGGTGTCCCTTCCCATGGCAGGGGGGTCGGAACTTGATGATCTTAAGGTCCTTTCCAATCCTAACTATTCTATGATTCTATATTCTTAGTATTATCAGAGCTACAGCAACTATCTTAAATACTAAAAGAATAATTGGATCCTTATGTAAAGATAATTATTATTGCATGTTGTAATACTACCTTTAAAAAAATCCTACTTTTCAAGTCTGTAATCTTACACTTGTGTGACTCCATTCTTGGTAAAATAATTTAACAGTTCTAGAAAACTATTTTAGTGCTTTTAAAAGCATGTTAGAAATTAAATGTGATTTAATGCTTGTTATGTAGTAAGTCAGGTATTGTTGAACAAAAATCCCTTCATATTTGTATAAAAATCCCTTGCTGAGTATGTATGGCTCTGCAGTAACTGCTTGTTCAGAATAAGTGGTGGAAAATGTAGGGACACGAGCTCGGGTCCTAATATCTATCTAGGGTCCCAATAACATCCTCCTTGGAACAGGAAGATGTGGCTGCAGTCAGAGGTGCTCACAGCCTCTTCCCGTACAACCACTCTCTAATCCACTGATTTGATAATTTCTTGCCCTTCTCTGTACTGGAGGCTCTGCTCCTTCAGGTGTGGACACTGTGGTGTCCTGCAGCTGGTTTTATGTGACCGAGACGCTTCACTTCCAAGGCACAAGCTTGGTAGGAATTTAAATTGCTGGGTGAGACAGATTTTTATCACAAAGCTGAAGCTTGGCTGTTGCCTTGCTTTGGGGCAAGTGGTATCCAGTACCTGAGAGAATGTGCTTTGGCTTATTTTAGGAGTTTTACTTCAATTTTACTTGGTTCTTGGTTAGAAGGTGAGCCATGAGATGGAAGTGTGTCTCCTCATCTTGTGCTCACCTTGTCTTGAAGCCTGATGAAGCCAGATAAAAAAGCTGTTCTCTGTGCAGAAAAAACTGCCAGTAGGACAGCTTCAGCTGGAATTGCAGTAACTGGTGCAGCTGTCCTTTGTGTAGGGCTGCTGGAGTGTCTTCATTGCAAAGATGTTTGCTGCTTTTATTAGTGTGACCAAATCCCTCCGGGACCACTCCCTTTGGTTTTTGGATGCGGATGTGGATTGGAGCAACCTGGTCTAGTGGAAGGTGCCTCTGCCTGTGGCAGGCAGTTGGAACTGGATGAGCTTTGAGGTCCCTTCCAATCCAATCCAGTCTGGGATTCTGTTATTCTGTGAACTGCCCTCGGAACCTTTCTCTGATCTGGTTGGTACACACTGGAACAAGTGCCTGCCCACAGGAAGGAGCCAGCATAGGCGCCAGGTCTGAATGAGAAGGCTGTCATGTAAATGCAAAAACACAGAGAGAAAACAAACGTCAGTACTGACAATCAGTACAAAGCCTTTTTTTTTTTTTCAGAAACTTTGGTTTTTAGCTGGTGATTTAAGCTCTCTCTGGAAGGTAACAGTAACCACTAGCATCAGGCATTCATAAAAATTATCTGTATGCACAATTTAACTGAAACTGTAGTAATTTATGTAAGCTATTTCCTTTTTCATACTCAGATATAAACCTACATTTATTCTCATGTTTTCACAGTCTCCGTTGCTTACTGCTCTGTTTTGCTTCTTTGTCAGTGTTCACAAAACCTGGTGTTAATCTTTACCTGATTCCACAGGCTTGAATAAAATATACTTTTTTTGTTTCCCTCTTCCATGTGGTGCGGGTTTTGCCTGTGTTGGTACACAACAATTGGTGAATTTGCACAATTTCCAGAAGGCTTTTTATTTGTTTTTTGTAAGATGTTTTTCTGCCTTTTTGACTGAAAAGTGCCTCGTGCATCATTGCTTTGTAAATGTCTTCTGTCCTGTCTTTTCCCAGAAAGTTTGGTCATCTGTTACCTCCAACCGTTTTCAATTATTCTGTGTTTTCTTCCTTTTTTTATCCAAGCAGCTTGCTTGTCTACAGTCTCTGTTCTAGTTTAGAAGTTTTTTCCATGGCTTGTTTTCGAAGCTTTAAACTATTTATAGGGGTAGAGGAGGTCCTCAGAAGACCTTTATTTTCAGCATTTGAATCTGTTTCATATGGGAATTTTGGTGTTTGGGATCTTACTTGTGAAGCCTTCTGGAAGGAACAGGCTTTGTTCCAAAGAGAATTAAGAAGCTCTCAGTCTCGTCTTCCCTTATCTGTTAATATCAACTTACTTTGTGACTCAAGAAATTAACTGATATTCAGCCTATTAGGAATGCATTGTTTTAATGAGATTCTGAAGGGTTTTTTTAATACCTTTTCTTTATGGCTTTTGAAATGATGCTTTGGGCTAAATTCTCCCTTTGCCTGTGTCAGCTCTGAGCCCTGCACAAGGACATGGTGGGTGTTTTTCTCAAGAAATATACTGGGAGCTCTTTGCAGGAAGTGCTCCTTGAGGCTAAATGTGTTTTCAAAACTTAGTTGCTGAGATATCTAAACTTTGTTTCAAAGATTAAAACGAGTGAATGTTTACTTATGCTACAAATGGAAAGATTGTTAAATATGTAAGAGAACACCTCAGGAAAAACTGACACATTTATCAATATTATCCTCTAGTTAGTGAAGTCATAATGCTGCCTGTGGTCTTGCCTTTCTTTTTGCTTGGTTTCTGTATAGTTAAATCTGTAAGTTCCCCTGCGCAGGTGAGAGGGAGAAACTTCTTACGCTGGTGGTTGTGGGACATATTATGGATTATTAACAGTTACTGATTTGTTAGGAGGCAGAAGGCTGAGAGTGAGCCTTCTGTGAGAGAATATGCATTTCTAATACACTGATTTCTTTGCCTGTAGGAAACTCCCCTTCCTGCATGTCTTTAGAAATGTGAAAGAAGTGTTAAACACCTGTTTTTCTCTCTGTTCTTTATTGCTCTACATATGCCATGTCTAATTTATACAGCTGTTTTCAGTAAGCAACCAGTGCTGTCCCCATGATGTTGTTGCTCACAGTGTGTTATAGAACAGAAAAATATTTAAAACACAGTTTTAAGTAAGTAAAAAGCTAGTTAGGACTCTGAAGCGTTTTCATTCTGTGTGTATATAAACCCTTTCACACCCTTCTGTGTGAAACCCCCCCTTCAAATGTATACTTTGTGTGTGTGTGTACACCTCAGTCAGTGTATGTTTGAAAACTGTTACTGGGTGTAGCTGAAGTGACTGACCTGGAACCTAGCAGGAAAAGATAAATTAAGGGAAATGTGTCAGATTAGATGTCTTCATTCTGATTTAAGTGTAAAAGAATTAAACTAAAGAAAGGCTGAAGTTCTTATTTACTGTAAAGTTTTGGTTGCAGAAGGAATTGAATGAGATCTAGGCATGCTGTCTTGGCAGCTTGGAACGTAAGTTCATGCTGATCCTATTGGAGGAGTGATTTATGATTTTTCGTGTATTTAGGGAGAGTTGTAGCTCATATGTTACCTGCTGCTGAGTGGTTTTCAGTGTGTAGGAAATAGCCTTGCACACCTCCTGAACTGTGCTCTTTTGGTACAGTGGACCTTGATTTGTGAATTTTACATCACCTGCCAGACTTGATAAGATTGACAGGCTATTTGTATGTCTGCTGTTGAGAACTTCATTTGCAAGTCATGTGGGGAGCAGGAGTTTTGTAGTGTTGTACTAATGCGTGCTTCGTCCAGCTGAAAATCTTTTGTAATAAGAGGGAGAAGGGTAATGTTGACTGAACCTCCCTGCACCTTGAGTAGTTTAGAGGACCTGATGAAGAAGCAACTTTGTGAAAAGTAGTTTTTTCAGAATGGGCGTACAGATGTTCTAGCATGCCAGCCATGCTGCGAAGGTGAAGTAGCAATGAGTTAAACAGCCATCTAGATTTGTATTATAGGGGCTGCATTCAATATTGTCTAGAGCCATTCTAAAATGAAATTTCTTAATGAATTTCTTAGCTGGGTTGTTCCACTTCTAATTCTACCCAGCAGGCTAAGAATGCAAAATTAAGCAATGAAATCAAAGTAAAGTGGCTGAAAATAAGAAGGCAAAATTGCATGCATACTTATATAGGAAGTTGTGGTTGGGTGTTTGTGTTTTTGTTGTTGTTTATGTGTTTAAAGAGGTGGTTTGCCATCAGGCAATTTGAGTGAAACCCCTCTACCAGATTTTATTTTTACTTTATGGAAGGTGGCAAAATCATTTGGAAATACAGTAAGCATGGCTTTATGTCCTACTTCTCTATTTGCTGTGATCCATCTTGCTACATGGAAGAGCAACAGGCGGTAGCAGTAGTTTGAATAAATCCTTAAGTTCTGTGCTGTGGTGCAGAACCTGAAGGTGCGGGCTGTCCTAAACACCATTGGTAGGGACTGTTATTTCGGTGTGCCTGCTGTTTTTGGGTTCAAAAAGAATTAGTCTCTTAAAAGAAGAGATTTGGCTGGTGAAGCCCTGGCTGGTTGACACACGCTGTTTGTGTTGATGGAGGCACATTCTGATTTGGAGAGCATGCTCTCGCTGGGGGCTGGTGCCCGATACTGTGATGCTTGTGCTTTCTTTCCAGTTGCGTAATGGCTTCTTGCCCAGCAGAAAAAACCAAATGCTTGAAGTATTATTCCATTTGTCTTTTTAACTGTGATTGCAGTCATATTGGCATCACAAGATGTAGCTTTTGATGTTTGTGGAAACTATGAATATAGTGATTGTATTATTCAGCACTGCTCCTGGTAGATATGACAGCATCCAGCCCTAGGAGTTCACTGTGATACTTCACGTAAAATATGTTTGTGTTCAGTGTATGGGATCAGTTCTAAGTATTGAGACAAAGGTGTGTTTGATGAGTTTGCATCACACTTCAAAACGAACTTGTATTTTCAGTTTCTGGTGTCAGTGTAACGTTTGCAGTGCCTGATTAAAACTGTCTCTGATGTTGTCCAAATCTAGAGGCAGCCCTGTAACAGTTTTCTTAGGTGGGTAGTAACTATGTTTTTCAGATGCAAAATTGGATCATACTGTCTTCTGCTTCCTACCAAGACTCACTCAAAGCTTGGAACCAACTTTTGGCCTTCCAGCCTCAGCCTTCACCCCTGATTTATGCAGGACTGAGGTTTCCACATCAGGTGAAGGCTGCCAGTGGCTTAGCTTGATTTTGTTGGTGTATGCTGGGCCAGGATTCCTGAGCTCTGAAGTACCTTCTGTGTGTTAATCAAAGACCATAATTATGGCTTTTGTCAGTGAACTCTTCTGTTTGCTATGCCTAGAATTGGGTGCTGGCTGCTTTGGCAAGCTGGCATCAGAGCTGCCTCTGCAAAAGTGCCTCTGCATCTCGCTGTTCTTGGTGATGGAGTGTGTGTGTGCCTATGCAGTTCATGTCCAGAATTGCCTCCGTGGACATGTGAGGAAACAAATCGTATGGCATGTGTTGCTTGAACCACATCGGCGATTTCTCTTTTGCTCCACTCCCTCCCTTCCATAGGTCAGAGATCTGGTTTTGAGGTAGCTGTCCGGGGCAGATTCACTGAACTTGTGTCTCTTTACACTTTATACTTTGTGTAGATATGTTTTTGTTCATAAATTGCATGAAACCTCAATTGCCTGTGCTTTGTTATGAATCATACAGCTGGAGTAAGGGAATTCCTCAGGGCGAACAGTTCATGAGTGTGAAAGTGCGCCCATCAGGACAGCTTGTATGGCTCCGTATCCAAAACAGTAACGGAGAGGTGCTGCTACAACCAGTACTAAGTTTTCTTCTGGGAGGAAAGAGAGGGTGAATAACTCAGCTTCTTATTTGTTAAGTAACTTGAAAAGTTGAGCAGCACCTAATATAAAAAGTATAGTTTTCTGTTTTCTTTTTCTTCTTTTTTTTTTTTTTCCTTGGGAAAATTGACTGCTGGTATCTCAGTGCTTTCAAAGTGATGCATAATGTAAGCAAAAGACTTCATAAGTGCTACTGCTCAAATTGTGTATGTGCTGGAAGTTACTGAGCTTTCAGAAAGCCTCCCTTGATGCCAAACTGCACTGTGGGAAGGGTGTGAGTGTCCTGGAACTGGCTCTCACTGATGGAGGCTTGAAAGAACTTGGAAAACAAGTTCTCTTGAGTTAAACTGTAACTATAGCATTAGGTGGCTGCCCCTGGCTAGGCTTTGCCCGCTGGGGGTTTTACTGCAACGGCAGCAAGATGGTGATTGTGCTTTTGGGGACGGTTAAAAGGGGCTGTTTATTTTGCAGAAGAATGAAGGGTGTCGTAGCAATTTCTCTGCAGCTCTGCTGCAGTGGTTTTACTAACTAATTACTTTGCTACATTCCCCCCCCCCCCCCCAACTCTCTCTTGAGGAAATGTGAATTTATAGTTAATTATTAATGGTGATTTCAGCTTATCAAAGCTGGAACAGCCTGTGCTTCTCCATGTTGTTAGTCTGCCAAGTTGGTCATGTTTTGAATTTGCCTAGAACTGCTTGAAAAGGCTGGAGACGTACTGTTAAGGATCTAGTAAAGAACATGGTGACAGTTAGGTGAACATTCGAGAGATGTTGCCAGAAGTGCTTCATTTCACTGAGCAATGTCTGCTTGTTTCTCTGTTTGTGCAGAGAGCAGCTTGACAAGGGTGGGGGGATGCAAACTGTGAAGCACCTCCTGTTCATCATCATTGCTTTGTGAAAATATATTTATTTATTTCTTTAAATGAAATTTACTTTAAATGAATTTACTGACTTAAAATATGTTTGCTTCATTACTTTGTTGAAATTTTCTTGAAAAGCACAGAATTCCAGAATTCAGTCTTACCTATGTTCAAAGTACACACACTTTGTATAGTTTAATGTCTAATAAGCCAAGTGTAGAGCTTCCAGCTCTCTCTGTTTCAAACTTGAGAGCTAACAAGACACATTTCCTTTGAAGAAAGCCTATCTAGAGGTAATAATGTAGTTGGTAGGTGTCTCAGGACAGGCTTTCTTTTTCAGATCCCCTGCAGTATTCACTAGCAGGGAGGTTGCACATGAGTTGTGGTGCAGCAGTCTCAGTATTAGAGCAAAGCAAGCTGGAGAAATCTGGAGCCTACTTCAGCTTGGGAGTAGTCATCGCACTGGAGTAGAGTTATTGTGGTCATCGTGCGCTTGGGGAAGGACGAGAGGGCTTCAGAAATGTGTGTAGAGGGAATTGCACACTGCTCTGAGAGTAAACCTGAATCAGGCCCGAAGCTGCTGTAGTAGCTGGAGACTGTCTGTCACCTGGGTATTGCTTTTCAACCCATCTTCTGGTGGATTTGCGTGTTGTGCTCTGATTTGCATCGTGGAGAGGTCATGTAGTGTACACATTTGGGTGTATTTTAAATTTAACTGTAAGGTTGCAGCAGATGCTCATGGGTGTTCAAGCTCAAGTACCCTCACTGAAATGGCACAGGTTTGTCTTTAGCATTAGTTGCTTTGCTCTACACATCCCTCTTACTGTGCTGCTGGACTTGTTAATGTTGATACAGTGTGGGCTGGGTCTGTATGAGGCAGTCTCAGTAAAAACCATGCAGAAAGATGTATAAACTTAGGGAAATGATTTGTGAGGAAGGGGGAGAATGAAAGACCCATCCTGTGATAGGTGACAATGTGCAGTTTATATCTTCTTCTATCAGAAGACCTGCTCAAAACCCAAAACCCCAGAACAAACCAACAACCAAACCTCTTGCAGCAGCAGGTCTTTACACTTTCCACTGTAGCTGTCCATAGGATTATGTTGTAACCTGAATCCCACAAAATAATAAGAAAACCTCCAAACCCTCCAAACATACAAAACCCCAGCCGAAACCCGCCACCACTAAAACCCCACCACCCCCAACCACAAAAAAATCCCCAACAAACCAACACAAAAGCCCTCCCTCCCCTGCTGTCTGGGTGTGGGGGGAAATCAGTTCTGTTAATAAACTTCACTTCTCAAAGTGAAGACCTCCAGCAGTTGGCTGTATTGGAGAGTTGCATGTTGTTCCGGGGTATTATGCTAATGTGTATTAAAGAGTGTACTGTCTGAAAAGTCCTTCTGAGCACTGCTTATGAGTGCATGGCAGAGGTCTTTAAGAACTCTCAAGTGTAGGATGCTGCAGGATTTTAATGTGCCTGTTTTACAGGAACACCTTATTCCTTGCTTATGTGAAGATACTCTTGCTTCTCTAAATGAGATTGTATCTTGAAGTGTATGTCTAAAAAAAAGACAAAATAAGGGGGGTAAAGGGGAAGTTGAGAAATCAGATTCTTGTACAAGAACTCCAAGGCCATTTTTACTTTTCAGGAGTAAAATTCGGCTTTTTTTTTGTTTGTTTGTTTTTGTTCATGTTTGCATGAAAGGTTCTTCTCTCAGGGTATGTCATCCCTTTTATTTAGTGCCTTCCCCCTCCCCCCCTTTTTTTTTCCTTGTGGTTGCTAAAAATGTTCTTATAATAACTTAATAAACACTTCTTATCTGAGAACAGAGCTGTTCCTGTGGTCAGAGTTCAGGGTCATGTAGTGAAGCCTAATGTGCAAACCCCAAAAGATGATAGCCTATTTTTTCTCATCCAAATGAAATGAATGTTAAAACTGGGTCTGTGTGATTCCAGTCCTTCTGGAGTGCTTCAGATAACATGAGCTATAGAAGTCTTGCATGTTTTTGTAGACCAGTGATCCCAACAGGCTCGGATAAGGGTTTGGGTGGTCTTCTGGCTGTGTTGGAGGACAGTCATTCCCCTGTTTTCTCTGCCACTGGGTTGTTGTCCTGTCTTCAGAAAACCTCCTTAACTGCAGTGTAGGTTTAGCACTGCTCTTTCAAAGTAGTCATCTCGAGAGCTAATCTTAAACCCTTTGTGTGGAGCAGAGGGCCAGTGGTAGTCCACAGTGCTGGGTGACTGCCAGCCTTTTCCAGCTCTCTACATTGACTGGCTCTGGGCAAACAAACAGCTTTGGAAAGGAAAGGGCTTTAAATTTTTCTTCTACTGCGGGGGCAAAAACCATTATAGGGTGCTAAACTGAGATGATGGTATGATGATTTTAATTGCTCTTAAGATGCTAAAATGTTAATTTGCATAAATCAAATCACAGCTTCAGAATAATCATGCCATGTGTTTGGTTAGTTTTCATTTGATCAGTCATTGCAGTGTCTGGCTCAAATTTTATGGGACTCATCTGCAATTTAAATACCCATTGCCAGAATCTTCATGTGCTTGGTATGAGAAAGGGATTTAATTAAAGTATTACTGGTATTGAACTTATTTTTGAGAGCTGACCAGACTTGTATAGGCCAGAACTTCCCTGGAAACTTGTCATTTGCCATTCAGTGCCTTTTTCTTTAGATTAAGGCTGGTGTTTGACAGCTCTGGAAGGGGACACAGTAGAGTGAGTGAGAGACGGGAACTGGAAGGTGCAGCACTCGAGAGAGTGAGGTCTATGCGATTTAACGGGGAATTGGGATTCCTTATCCTGCGTGCAGGCCAGCTACTGTTGTCATTGTCCTCCCTCTGATGCTCTACTAGGACCAGACTCTTCTTCATGCCTGGGAAAGGGGAGGTACAGTGAGGAGCATGGCTCTCCTTTCCATAGAGCTGGTGTCCTGAGCTGGGGACAAATTTGGGAACTAATCCTGTGCAGAATGGGGCTGCTCTGCTCAGGGGCTTCCCAGGTGAGCAGGCTGCTTCCTGTTGTGAAAACTGATACACAAACTAATGCAGTGGGATGCTGTATAATTTGGGGAAGCTACTTGTTTTTTTGTGAATGGATTAGATTCCAGGTAAATTACAGTGTACAGTAAAGTTGCAATTGTTCATGTGAACATACACATGCCTCTATAAGGTATTTTGGGCTCTGACACACACTTTGATTGCTTTCTGTTTCATCATGGTGAAATTCTTTGAGCTTTGACAGTTGTCATTTGTTTGTTCTCAGACGCCTGATGGTGCTTACGACGAGTAGGTCTGATACAGTATCACAGTATGTTAGAGATTGGAAGGGACCTCAAAAGATCATCTAGTCCAATCCCCCTGCCGGAGCAGGAACACCTAGATAAGGTTACACAGGAACATGTCCAGGCAGGTCTTGAATGTCTCCAAAGAAGGAGATTCCACAACCTCCCTGGGCAGCCTGTTCCAGTGTTCCGTCACCCTCACTGAGAAGAAGTTTCTTCTCAGGTTTAAGTGGAACCTCTTGTGTTCCAATTTGTACCCATTTCCCCTTGTCCTTTCATTGTTTGCCACTGAGAAGAGCCTGGCTCCATCCTCGTGACACTCCCCCTTTATATATTTATATACACTAATAAGGTCACCCCTCAATCTCCTCCAAACTATAGAGACCCAGCTCCCTCAGTCTTTCCTCATAAGGGAGATGCTCCACTCCCTTAATCATCTTAGTTGCCCTACCTTGTGGAACGGGTAGCTTTGGCTCACAGTTAAGAGCTTTACAGTTATTTTAGATCACTGTTGTTAAATATTTGAATTATTTAACATTTGCACTGAATGTTTTTATGTAGATTTTTTTTTTAAGTGAAAGCTGAGTTTTTAATAGCACGAAGGTAGTTCCCCCATTTAAAAAATGACAGCTAGTGGCCTGCTGCAGACTATCTCAGTCATATCCTGATCAACCACCAAAAGCAACTACTGCAGTGACCTCCTGCTGCTACAGCCCTTGTGTGCACTGGGAAGGCGTGGGGACCTTGCTGTGGGCTGTAAGAAACTAAACATGAAGTAACTTTAGGCTAGTTCATTTGGAAAATGTACTCATATCGTGATCTTTTTAAGGGGAAACTGCTTTGAAATGTAAATGCAGGATTCTCACTTGCTTTTTCTTTCCCTCTGTAGGTATGGCCTCACAAGTCTTGGTCTATCCACCATATGTTTATCAAACCCAGTCAAGTGCCTTTTGTAGTGTGAAGAAACTCAAACTAGAACCAAGCAGTTGTGTGTACCACGAAGGAACCTACCCGCAAATCTGTGTGAATGGTAAAAACTTTGGAATTTCTCCCCACAGGGTTAGTACATTCTTTCAGACTAAAAATCCATTTGACAGACCTCGAGGACAGAACTTTTTGTTGCCATCAAATGCTGTTGCTTTAACAAATATTGCAGGTGCTACAAAAGTGTTAGTGGCGTGGGCACAGCAAACTCAGTTAGAGGCACCTCAGACTGGGGCAGATACCCTGGAAGGGCCCCAGCGATGCGGATTGAAGCGTAAGAGCGAAGAGTTGGATAATCAAAACGGCACAATGCAGATTGTTGATGAACTGTCCATTCTGCCTGCAATGTTGCAAACCAGTGTGGGAAACCCAGTAACGGTCGTGACAACAGCTGCAACTTCAAAACCAAGTGGTGCAAGTGGAGACGGAGATTACCAGTTAGTACAGCATGAGGTATTGTGCTCTGTGAAAAACACTTACGAGGTTCTTGATTTCCTTGGGCGAGGGACCTTCGGACAAGTTGTGAAGTGCTGGAAAAGGGGTACAAATGAGATTGTGGCAATCAAAATCCTGAAGAATCATCCTTCGTATGCCCGCCAAGGACAAATAGAAGTGAGCATATTAGCGAGACTAAGTACTGAAAATGCTGATGAGTTTAACTTCGTGAGAGCCTATGAATGCTTTCAGCATTGTAACCATACTTGTCTGGTTTTTGAGATGTTGGAACAGAATTTATATGACTTCCTGAAACAAAACAAATTCAGCCCTCTGCAACTGAAAGTAATAAGGCCTATTCTGCAACAGGTGGCTACTGCACTGAAAAAACTAAAAAGTCTGGGTTTAATCCATGCTGACCTCAAACCAGAGAACATTATGTTGGTGGATCCTGTCCGACAGCCTTACCGGGTTAAAGTAATAGACTTTGGATCTGCCAGCCATGTATCAAAGACTATCTGTTCGACCTATTTACAATCTCGGTACTACAGGTAGGTGTCTTTTCATTTGTTTTTAGCTTTTAATGGAATAAAGTTTTTGCATTTATTAAAGTTAATGGCTTAAATAATTACTCTTCCACATAACTAAAAATAACTTGCAAAACATTTTAGATGTGAATACTTGCTCTTACTGTTCTTATGGTGTTGTTTTTTCCTAGAAGTACGCTTTCAGTGGCACTCTGAAGCCGTCACTCTACTGTTATTTTGAGAT